AGTTTATCCAGTAAAATTCATTACAACTCACAATGTAAACCGTAGAGACTTCTTTCTCACGCAATTGTCATTCAGTGAAAAACGCAATAAACACAAGGGGCGGTGTTGCTTGACCCGCTTTCTTTTCCCAAAAACCAGAATTATTTTAGACTCTTTTAGGAAACACTTTTATCAGATAATGACATCGTTTTCTTCGCAGAATTCTAATCAGGAGTATACGTTCTGAAACGCATCTGTGTCTGTTATCTAAATGTCTATCGTATTTAAACCGACTGGGAAAGGTTTATTTTTAAAGTAGTTTCTATTCGAGGCTCCTGATTTTCGGCCGAATCGAATCGGGTGCGACGTGTGGTGGCGCGGGCGTCGCATGTGATAGGGAAACGGATATTGCGTCGAGTGTCGTATGCGCCGCGCTTCAACACATGTTCTCGACGTAAAATCTGCCCTCGGCCCTATATTTTATTTCTATTTGGTTCTCTCTCAGGCAGTCCTTTTTCAGTAACTTAAAAAAAACAAAGAAAAGTTACGAGTCTTCCTAATAAAAAAAAGCATTTATTTTTTAAAAATCGAAAATAAATTGAAAAAATTTTCGACTCGGGCAGGACTTGAACCGGCATCGTCAGCTTTTCGTGCTGTTGCTGACGATGCCGGTTCAAGTCCTGCCCGAGTCGAAAATTTTTTCAATTTATTTTCGATTTTTAAATTATATAGTGCCTTCATGTGCAATAACATGTGAAAAATATTAATGTTTTCAAAAGCATTTATTTCTTAATGAATAACCTTATAAATGTCTTACTCCATTTAATTGTGAAATATAAGAGCAAATAAGGTAATGTTATTTAATTTTTACGACTATATAATTGGTATAGGAGATCGCATGCTTTAGCTATCTACATATTTAACTACTTATTCGTAAAAATATTTAACAACTCTAGTCCCCAGTACAAACATTTCGAAACTTGGATCAACAGTTACACAATATCATCAAATAGTTTACTTTTGAATTCGTAGTCACGAGAAAAACTTACGCTCTATGTGTTTAAGTCGTATTTTACCCTCTTTAAAAGGGGAAGAGCTCACAAATATTTTTGTGAAACTTTCATGAATATATTAGGCATAAATGTGTCTAGAGAATCTATATTTATACTTTAAAGTACTGAACTAACACACTCATGGCAAATACTTTATTATTATATGTTGCGCAGTGTAATAACATTGTAGTTTTAATTATGTTTTACACTTTTCAAGATTGTTAGCAATAGATTACTGTATCCTAATTATATTTGTTCTATTCCACTCGAGTTAAGATATAAAATCGCTTCGATTTACTTAAAGTCGTAAGAATGAACATTAAAAGCCGGGTCGCGTGTAAAAGAACCATAGCAAACGGACGTCTAGCCTCGGTACGGTGCCTTCCGGCGAAACGCAAGGAATGTTGCCAATAGATTAACTTCTGATCTCTTTTCCGATATTATAGCAAAGCGCTTATGTAAGGAATCCTACGTAGTTCAATCTGTTTGGGGCCGAATACTTGCCCGAATTCCTGCAGATACCGGATTCATCAAGCCAATAACAAAATTGTTAATTATAACATAATTATTTCCAGATCTTAAATAGTATTAACACTAGTTATGTTTTTACGTACAGTATATAGCTTACGGGTACAACTAAAAAAAATAACGATGGTCCCCCGTGACCACGCTTTCTGCCAATGATTCAAAACGACGGGCTATATTTAAAAATAAATCCTAACTCAGCTTTTTCATCAATTTTAACTTAAATATTGTTAGTTTTTATTAAAGATCAATTTAAAATGTTAATACTGGCAGCAGTTTACGTGAGTAGTACACAGTTAAATAAAACACATTTAACCATTTTAAACGCAAACTTATATCGTGCCGTAGTAAAAATAATTTGCAATTAAGGTTAACTGACACGTATCGCGCTTGAAAGCATTGAAAATATTTTATTTAAAGATATAGTTTTTTTGCTAATCTATTGAATTCCTAGTTCGATAAATAAATTTTTATAGGTGGGAGCTTCGTATTATCGTTTCAATTCTATTAGAATTTGCAGAGTATTTTTACTGAAATGTTATAGGTGTGCACTTAAGAGCGGGCCTTCCCACTGTGGCTTGTTTGCATACAAGCGAATTCCATTAGATTCCAACTTGTACAACAGCCTCTACGCCTCATTCATATCCCATTAGCTGATCGATTCACAGGCTCCATGATCATTTACTTATGCATACATTAAAGCTTCGGTTTTGCTAGCAGTTGCACCGTTATTTATAGCCGCTGTAAATTCATTGCAGTCAATATGCGAACGTGTAGGCGCATACAGCTAAACCTTGCAAATGTGCGGATTAACAATTATTCGAGCAAAGTTACGTAGCACTATTACTATTGGATTTCGGTTTTGATGAGTTATTATAACGACGACTGCGAATGTGTTGACGGAACATTTACATATACGCTATGAACGTGGAATATAAATCAGTTAATACATTTATATATATGAGTAGCTCATGTTAAATTATATTTCAATAATAAATGGAGAATTTTAAAATTACCTTACACACACGAACTTTGTAGATTTTTACAGCGACATCTGTAATGGATACAGAAATAATTAATTCAACGCACATTTTATTAACACATTATATTGAACCATTATTGCGTTTTATAAATAGTTATATCAATGTTTATACAACGTAAAAATACTCAGACATCAAGTATTTAAATAAAACGCTTTAACGGTTTAAATCGCGAAATGTACGAGTACGGCACGATTGAAATAAGTTTTCCAAATACATTTCGCGTTTTAAACGATTAAAAATATTTTATTTAAATGTGTACATTTAGTATTGTTAATTTATCCATAGTAAAATATTACAATTTTAATTTTAAAATGATTAAATTGATAACATTTTCTTCAAAGTATTTATATTGTTACAAAATTTTAATTAAGATATGGCATAATTCCGACACGATTATGACAATGGACAGTCTTACTGCGATTATAATAAGCAAGCACAAAAGTTCATTTCATTTAATGTCACGGAAATGTAGTCGAGCTTTGTGCGATGTGTGCTGAACTGTGGAGCGTGGAAGTGAAATAATAATTAAATTTTCCCTTGACGCCCACCGAGGAGTGTGTCGTTTCATCAACCTGGGCTCCAACTCCACAACCTCAAATATTCAAATGCCAACCACCATTATGCTTTCACATCTTATTTATACATTTCACTTATTTATCATTAAATTTTTTAACGGCGCTTATCCTGCAAAATTAAAAGTACATATAAGAATGTTACAATGTCTGCCTTCCCACTCTCTAAAACATACTCAAATGAATATAATGTTCTTTCTATACTTATCAATTAAAACAACTAACAATTCATGGGTATTCACTTTATATATTTTGAAGACAGAGATATACATCAAGATAGGGTTAGTCTAAGAAAGACGTTGATTGGGCCGTTTCTTCAGCGCCGGCTTATTTCCATCTTATTACCGGTAGCGTAGCGTTATTAAAGCGGGGGCTATATTGCCACCCGCGTCTCGCCCTGTCCTTAGGTCTGTGAATTAGGTTAATGGTCTGCCAGGTGATTTTCTTTTGAGCCACATTTCGAACACTCGACACGCCAATGCCACTGTAACAACCTAAAATATTAAACACGAAAAGATATTCAACTGTTAGGATTATTAGGACCCTCTATTTTTGCTTCGCGCAATGCAAGATTGTAGATAACAGATACGCTCAAATGTTTACCGCAAAACGTACCATTGTTTCATAGTTAGAACGTTTGAGCAGTCTCAGGGGTCTTTGATTTATGGTACGAAGTCTCACCACAGCCCGTCGCGTCGCCGCCACTGCCTTCGGCGTTTTTGCTACCCTCCCCCTAGCGAGTACAACCGTTGTCGTAAAATATGAAATCTGAATTAGCTGTATAAGGTTTGTCAGACAATAGTCTCCATACAAATGTTGTTATGTTCCAACAAGAATATTTATAACTAATTAATAAGAATTTTATTAGCTTTCTCGTTTAATCATCAATTATTGATATTTAATGGAAAATTTACATAATGGTAACTGACATAGGAGTTGTTTTTTTAAAATGTATTTACTAAGAGAGAAACTCATCACACAACATACATGATTCTTCGCCACACCAAAGTGTTTAATTTTTAAGTTTACTTAGCTTTTTTTTTAAATATTGCTCAGCGACCAAGTTGCTTCCTATTTATTTTAATTATTTGTTTAATTTTGTTGAACTGTCTAACTTCAAAGGATGCTTAGAATTAATTACTTTGATACGGAGCTTACCCAAAAATTATCCATTAGCTGTGTACATATTTACCTTTACTCTAGAAACTGTTTGTATGTTGCGGTAATCATAGTATCACTATATTCTATATACATAGGATCTATCATAGTGTCATATACATATTTTAAAAGTAAGTCACTGAAATCCAGTTATTCACAACTATAGTACATTAAATTATATTATTATTAAAAATTACTCTATTAAAGTAGGTAAAATGTGAATGAAATGTAAAGCAGCATAAAGTTAAACAATCACTTGGTTAAAGAATATTAGAAATGTAGTTTTACACATTTTAGTAACTTACCGATTTTTGTCTCATAACATTAACTTTAATTTGACGAGTATAAACCTCACTTATTTATTTTGCAAAAATCTTCCTTTATAGCGTTTCATATCCTTACATAAAGTGTAACATGAAAGTGAAGCTAGTGCCAACTACAGCTGGTTGAAGGGGACCAAATGATATTCAAAGACAATTTGACCCGAAGTCAACCAGCTAAAGTGAACAACGCTCACACTTTCGCACTGTTTTCTTTCTTCCTTGGGGCGTCTTATGGTTTTATTTTCATATCTTCTATTCACAGCATTGATGTGACGACACACTGAGACGTAGATGGAGGAAAGTGGTAGACATTTAAAACATGTTTTAAATCTAGTACGTTTGATGGGTTCAAGAATAGACGCGTGAGATGCGCGAGGTGAAGTGAGGGCGACGTGGAATCGACAGCGGCGCCACATATAGGGCAGCTCGCGCGCATCGCGCCCATACGCAGTGTAAGCTTACCGGACGATCCACCGACGCGCGTTCAATCACCAGATTTTCACTGAAATTCAAATCCACAAAGTCTAAAGCAAATTCGTCAATGGACGCTTTCGCGTGTTTTGGGTTAAAATAGCACAGATAGTCTTGTGTTCGTTTACCTATCGCGCTACGTAGGCATCGCCTCTGAAGTAATCTGTGTTGACGCTCTGCATGAAACCGTACACGCCGCCTCGCTATTTTGGTCCCGGCCGCTGCACTAATTCGGGCAGGGTTAACGCGATGGCCTCCCTGAACGTTGTCGACGACCGCACACTTCCGTCTTTATAATTCACGAAGTCACTTAAAAGTTATCTCTTCTTTCGACTCCAATTTTACTTTAGGGCTCGCGGTTCACAATCACAATTAAAGTGTCGCCGCGCTGATAATGATTACGCCTAGGTACCGACTCGAAGAGCCCAACCCGATGACCCCGACGTCATCGACCTAGCGCGAGCCCAGACGAGGGGTTCGTTGACATCTAGCTAATGTGACCTTGCATCTTCGTTTGACCTAAATAAAAATACAACTACAACAGTCGTTCGTACGTTTAAAAGCGCTTCCTACAAATGTCTTCCGGATCGCTACTCCTACACGGGAATTCTTTTAAGATAAGAGGTGAGCGACCCCAGGTAGAGGCCACGACGACACCGCAGGTCGCTCTTTACGTCCGCGAATGCATTCCGACCGACGGCGACACGACATCGCGAACCTACTAACCCCGCGCCGCCGGGGACCTGCGCCCCGCTACCCTCCGGATCCGGCGACCCCTCGCCCCGCTTCCGGTCCATCCGAAAGCTACGAAAATACTTAACGTGTCGCGCGTAGAGGCCCGATAAAGCGTAGAGATAAGAATGACGTAGAGGGCGGACGCACCGATCTGAATATTGCGAGGAGATATGTGATTTATTTAATTAATGTTATTATAAAAAGAACTGCGTGTATTATGACGCGTGATAGAGAGCGAGGGGCGGGCGGGCGGCGGCACGTGTGGCTAGGGCGGCTAAGGCGGGCGGGCCTCGCGTCTCGACTGAGAGGCGCGCAGCATCGCGGCGGCGCGCCGACCCGCACCCGCCCCGCCTCTTTGCCCCGCGCCGCACTGTCTGCCGCGCTGCAGCCTCGCAGCCCGCACCACCCGCCACCATCATCAAATACACAATTATTGTCAATCGCCTATTCATACCAATACCCTAACCCTAATTTCCTTCCTAGTAAAAATATAATACTTTACATACTTTATATTACAAACGCATATTCTCTTACCTGGTAGCCTCTTACTCTTTAAACTTAGCACACTGCATTTGGTAGAGACAATATTTTTTATGATTATTTACTTATACAATATTATTCCGCTTAAACTGTCCGGCTTGCAACGTAAACCGTTCAAGAAAATTTACTTGTCAGCAGTCATAGATGTACTCCCATCTTTCAAGAGAAGTAAGATATCTATTAATTGACGAAATTTTTGAGAAAGTTACACCCAATTGTCCTTGATTCGGCTGTCTTAATAAGCTGAATAAATTATTATTACATATTAGGCTTAGACTATCTTCCACATGACACGCGAGGAGCTTAGCCGTATTATTATAATGATTAATTGGCTGAAGGAGGTACATATTTTTTTCAATTAATGTTTCTTAACCTATATCTATTTCTTTAATATCAGTTCGATAATATTAAGTGTTTTATATGTAGAATATTTATTTTGTGCGCAACGCCAGCAGTATGAGCTTTCAGAGGAAATAGTTTTACATTCTTTTGGTCATTCTGTTATTACTTTCGTAATAGTAGTGGTTCGCGTTATGATATGGTTACACAAAATAGCAACTTTTACCACTTGTTTCGTTCAACGTGACGGGCTAATAAGACTACTTTAAACGAGTTTAAAGTCGTGTTATACGTTGTATATTGTACGTTTATAAATAAATAGATGTTACTATTTTTTGGAATCTGGAATGAAAGCTACTTAAACCATTTCATTTATTGACAGATTGAACGGTAATAAAATTATAATTTCAATAAACTTTGTTGTCGAGTTTAAAAATAAGTGTTTAAACTGATTTTTCCTAACGTGTTAATTTGAAAGGGGACTTATGAGCTTTCATTAGAGGGGTTTGTTGTAATGTTATTAATTGCGAATTCAATATCTTAATTAGAAAAAACAATATAATTGATTTTAAATACTTTATTTTTAAAAATCCTGTTCGTTGGGACAATCTTATTACAAAAAAAATACCTAAAAGTTGCATTAAAAACTTTGAGTAACGTAAGTATCAATTAAAGACTACATACTTATATACAGACATAACATACAGACTATATTTTTTTTATTTATTTATCTCACCAATTTCTGAATACCCTAAGGTTAAAATAGGGCGACATCGCATCGTGTTTATATTTTATATGGCTGGCGTATTTTACATTTCATCAGGGAACCTCAAGCTTGTCTATCAAAAACATTATACAAAAGTTGTAGTAGTAGTTTTTTTTTTTCTTATGCGAACAATAAACTATTTATGAACGATCCACAAATGCAGCCTACTGCTAAAAACTTTAATTCGCATCAATTTGCAAAGAAAGTAGGGTGACAGTTGACTTATAGGAAGTTCGATTTTCCGCAGTTTAGTCGGAGCTCTAAACACTTCGACTATAGGCGTCAATATTTAGTGACAGTGCCGTGATTATTTCAACACGAACGCAATTAGAGAGGAGCGGCGAGCCTTCTCCTGTTTGTTTTAATTACGTCGAAATAACGTGGTGCCGCTGCCCGCGACCGCGCCACTCCCCTGCCCTTCCCCCGAGAACCTCCACTTTTATTGCAAATTGCAAACCCATTTATGATTGAAGGAAAAACAAACCAATTCCGCTTTTACATAAAACAGACACACTTTTATAAAAGTAATTGTTAGCCATCTATAATCACAGTCTTTTTATTTATCAACATCAGCATTTATCGTTCATATTATAAGCAGCGTTTTATAGTACTTAGTATCACTTCTTTTTTTACTATAAAATTTATATTGAAGTACAAAATTAGGACGACGTTATCCTAACTTGTCATCAACATTTTATCTACTGCGAGAAACTGCGGCTAACTAATCATTGCCTTATATGAAATATTCCAATCACAATTACCAAACAGTTTGTTACTATGTTTTTTATCAACACATTGATAATGTTATAACAATCTTGTGTCTGTCAACATTTAATATAATTATCAGAAACGAAATTTGCTCATTTAGAGGCAGTAAAAAATATGTTGTTAATTATACTTTATGGTTATCTTAAATCTTGCAAAACTGGATAAATGCTACTTTTTCTATTAGAAATAAGGGGTTAAATTTTGGTTTCGAAAAACTAACATCTTTCCGAAATCCACATCAACATAAAAAAATGTTGATTAAAAAACAAATAAAATTTTCGCCTCGGGCAGCACTTAAACCGGCATGGTCAGGATTCCGTTCTGTTGTGGCTCTAACAATTGAACTACCTAGTCCTACACCTCATCGTCGAATTTTTATATAATAGTTGTCTACGACCTATAATATCTAATTCAAATTGGCGAAGTAGTTTAGTTCACACTCTGCAGCGTGACGTTTTTAAATGTTACACCCTCCCAGTTTAATATCCGGACAAGTTCTTTAACCCAATTCAAATTAATTTTGCTCACAATTTTTTTTATCACAAAACCGAAATTAATATGTCAGTTGTATTGGTAAAATTTTATATATTAATAAAAGTTAGATTTTAAACAATCCTAATTCATATAAAGAGTGCGAAGGAATGAATATTGAATAAAAAATTCAAAGCAGCAACTACTATACTATATATTAGTATATAAAATATATTATATATTAGTGTATAAAATATATACAATATAATATTTTAGTTTTCAACAAAACCACTAACAATCGCTAAAGAAAGCACATTTCCTGTTTTATTGTTTCCTAATTTTTCTAACTTCTTCCTCTCGCGTATACGTTAGTCAGCGTTCCCCTTGTTTCATTGCTTGACGCTTCCTTCCGGTCTTTTATAACCTATCTCTCGCCCGAGCGGAAATAAAGTTTAGACTTAACACGAATTATAGCACTCTATACCCAGTGAATTAATTAGAATCATGGGCCATATTATTATTTAAGTGTGAATAGGGTCCAATGAGAGGTTTAAAGAAATCTATATAAGTATATACATTCACATATGGCATACATATTCGTAAGTAACTTACAATTAATGACTCACTTGTAACTACTCACTATATAAATCAAAAACACAAAAGTTTGTTATAAATTTGAAAAATGGAAAAATTATTTATTTCTTACTGCTATTGGGCCAAAGCTCAAAAAAGGAATCCTTCCCAGGGACTGAATGCGATCCTTTTTTACACATAATTATAATTGATAAACATTTAAATAATAAAAAGCATATTTGTTGCAATCGAATGTAATTCACATTTTAATGTAATAAACAACTGGTTACAATAGAATTTTAAAAAATTACAGTTGCCTAAGTATCTTCATGGCTCTTTATCGACCCTTTTAAGTTATAACAGTGAACTGTTTCCCTTGTTTTGGGCAGACATGTCTGTGTTCGTTTCCCTTACTGCTGCTTACACAGATCCACTATACCTTTCTTTTATTTATCCAAAATAAATTTTCGACTCGTACAGGACTTAACCCTGCATCGTCAACGTTCCTTGCTGTTGCTCTAAGTACCGAGTCTCACACCTGAAGACGAAAGTACAAAGTTTAAGTTAAACTTTATTTTTCACATGTTATGGTACATGATAGCACTATATATATTTAAAAATAAAAATTAAAAAAAAAAAAAAAAAAAAAAAAAAAAAAAAAAAAAATTTTTTTTTTTTGAAGGGGGGGGGGGGGGAAAAAAAAAAAAAAAAAAAAAAAAAAAAAAAATTATTTTTTTTTTTTTTTAAATAAAAAAAAAATTTAAAATTCAAATTTCAAAAAATCTGCAAAGCAAAAAAAAAAAAAAAAATCCCCCCCCGGGGGGGGGGGGGAGGAAAGAAAACGGGGGGGGGGGGGGGGGTAAAAAGAGGAGAAAAAAAAGGGGGGGGGGGGGGGGGGGGGGGGGGCTCTGTTGGGGGGGGGAGGGGGGGGGGGGGGGGGGGGGGGGGGTTCGGTCCCGGCCGGGGTGGAAATTTTTTTTATTTTTTTTTGATTTTTAAATTACCAATATTTCCCAGATTCGAACACAGGACCTCTTCCCCTAAATTCAATATGGTTGTGGAGGGTGGCGAGCGAGGCAAGCTTATGTTGCCAACGGGTAAAATAAATACGCAATTTCATAAAATACTCGTAGTAAGTAGTAGTACTCATTAAGGAAACGGTTTGAAAATCAATGGATTAAAAAATACCACTCCCCGTAGTAATGAACGGGGAAAATATTTTACTTTTTGGCGGCAGCCGGCGTTAACTACGACACTCAAAGCCTCTCAAATTGTGTTGCAAATTGCAGAACGTATGCAATGATAACAGCTATTGTGTTACGCAACATCGAACTAACTAATCGATTCACTTTGCCAATTACATTTCATTCAATAAAGTTTGATACGCAAACTCCCAAAAATTTTAGGTACAGAAATATGACACAATAACCAGCAAATAGTAGTCATAAATTAATTAACTTTATTAAAAATCGGAAAATTTTCAGTATTCCACCAAAAACAGAAGTATAAATTCAGACCATTTAATGTAAAATGTTTGTAGTATACTCCATGCATTGAAAACCATTACTACTTTTCACTTATATTACAAGGAATTTAGTGTAAGAATATACACGTTTGTTACTCTTTTACGTCCAAATGCCATAACCATAATTTTGATAAAGCTTTATGTGGTTGTAGCTGTTGCGGATACACAGATAAAACCCCTTAGGGGTAACCAGTTCGCCCTTGAGTAAACTAGAAAGCTTTGCTTTCTAGTTTACTTAATTACTGATCACGTACTTCTTTAGGTAACTATTTTAGCGCTAATGAAAAAAATATATAATTCTTACATCTTAACATATATAAGGATAATAAAAATAAATAAATTAATTTATTATACAATTAATATCAACTTAAAGCCGACGTTTACTTTTAACGAAAACTGCAAAGAGAAATGTATTTATGTAAATTATTATCTTT